CTGTGCGAAGGTTCATTATTGTTTTCATCCACTAGATGGCGACGGCAGCTTAGTGACACCCGGGGTGACCGGAAATCTTTCTCCTAACTGCCCTTTCTTTTATTCCCTGGGCTGGATTTCCACTTTCTATTGAGAAAATGTATGGGGATTTCAAGTGTTATTAACTAGCATTAAGATATAATTTTTTTACTTTAATTTTAGTTTTTTTACATTTTTTTGTAATTGTTCATTTATAAAAATACTTTTTAAAAATAATAATAATAATTAAAAAAAAAGTTTAAACCAACTCTTCTACCCTCCACATCTGATTCCATTACCTAAACAAGGAATTTTTATTTTCTTTAAAAAAGGATTTTGGATTTGTATTTTGCACCTGCATGTGATTGGACAAATACTAATTGACCTTATTCACTAAGCTGAATTAGCAGCTTCCGCTTTGCTTTTGCTTTACCTGAAATCTTTCTGACACCGCTTTTCTGACACCGCTATTTGAAATGTTTATTGCAGAAAACAAATATTTTAAAGAAATGGTACAAAAATCATTAAGTTTAAAAGGCCTAAAACTTTTATAGTTTTGTTTTTATATCAAATATACTTGTGGTGGGTGTACAAACCACGGCACCCCCATTAAAATTATAGCTATCATGTTCTGAGTCTGAGTTCAGCCAATCGATCTGCTTATATTTAGTGCAAAGTTTTATAATGTTGTTTATAAATAAAGAAAAAGAATATAAATGTAACATCTATAGCACTCACTGACTATATCATAAGAGAGTGCGATACAGTGAGTTCAAAGTGCAGTAGAACTACCAATCAGAATTCACCTTGTGCTGGACTGGCTCCAGTGAAGTGAACTGTGATTGGTCAAAGTGGGTAACTGCAGCCGACCTTCTGCTCCTTGCACCTTTCATTGAATGCATTCTTTCATTTGATACTTTTATGTTTTATTGTGGCATTTGTGGGTTACAAGAAATAAACATATTCCTGAAACTGTGACGATGTGTTTCTTTATAAGACCAGAGAGCGAAGATGTATCATACGGGATAAGAGGGGTTTGCTTGAAGTGTATCTAAACCCAAAACCAAAAATGTAATGCTGTATATTGCAGCTTTCCCGTCCTTACATGTGGCGGCTGCATTCATTTTAGTTTCTTTTCACCTGGTGATCCTGCCGGTAACACACTTCCTGTCCTAGGGTGACAACGCTCACTTACTGTACTGTATCTATGATAGAGTAGTGTTGTCACCCTAGGACAGGACAACGCAGCACCTCTTATTCTCCCATTCTCCTTACATAGAGGGGAGGTGTTGGGTAGTGGAGCAGCAGTCAGGGGCATCCCGGGGCCGGGTGTCACCCCGCCGTGTCGTCATCGCGCTTGCGCGACCACATTGATTGATGCCTGCCGCTGGCCATCTTGGTGATGGGCGCAGGCAGAGAGAGGAGGGGACGTTCGGCGTGAGGTATGCTGCTGTGTCCCCTCCTCTCTCCTGCAGCTGTCAGGCTCTCAGTCCATGACCGAGTGCCCGACTTTTCAGAGGGGGTGACACCAAAATGACTGTCAGTCATTTTGGTGTCACCCCTGCAATGGTAACACCCGAGTGCGGGCCACACCCCCCTTGTGACGCCACTGGCAGCAGTGTTGTCTTCCTAGGACAGGAAGTGTGTTATGACTACAGAACGCCTCCCCCATTACTTTTCTCCATGATTCATATCCTTCACAGATTTGCTTTATATAGATAGGAGTAGCAGAGTTTGAAGCCTTCTCAAAACAGAAGATATTCACTTGTCTCGTTCCATCACATATCCCAAAAATAAGAGGAATATTCCTCATTACATGACAGTGGGCGGAGCTATGCAAATCATTTCTTTACACCCCAACAGCCACATACACATCCAGAATTGGTGGTGAATAGTGCAAATCTAACCTAATATCATAGAACCATCTATTCCAAATTTCATACAGCTTTCTTTTCCGTGGTGCGTGCACGAAAAAAGTGAATTGTGAAATCACAACACACAAGAGTGCTTTT